ACACACCTGACTTGTGAAATGAGGGCCTGGATGCTGAGTGGCAGCCTCCATCTCACTCTGCCCTCAAGCGCCCCCGGCCTTGCTGGAGTCCCAGCTGTGGCAGGGCACTAAGGTGGAAGAGGACCCTGCACATCCCTCGTTTATTCAGGAAGGAGAGCACCAATTGCAGATCCCAAAGGCTGTAGAATTAAAACTACCCACTGCATTGTAAGCACTTCCTCTTCTCTCTTATGCCCTATTTAATTTTCAAAGATAAACAGTGAAGACCAGGCTTGGTGGGCTCATGCCTGTAATCTCAGCACTTTGGGAGTCCGAGGTAGGCAGATGGCTTGAGCCCAGGAGTTCATGACTAGTCTGAAAAACATGGTGTAACCCCATTTTTACAAAAAATACACACACACTAATTAGCCGTGCATGGTGGTACATGATTGTAGTTTCAGCTACAGTCACTGGGCAGGCTGAGGAGGATGAATTGCTTGAGGCTGGGACAGAGAGAGATCCTTACTTAAAAACAAAAAACCGACCAGGCGCAGTGGCTCAAACCTGTAATCCCAAAACTATGGGAGGCCGAGGTGGGTGGATCACGAGGTCAAGAGATCAAGACCATCCTGGTCAACATGGTGAAACCCCATCTCTACTTAAAATACAAAAAATTAGCTGGGCATGGTGGCGCATGCCTGTAATCCCAGCTACTCAGGATGCTGAGGCAGGAGAATTGCCTGAACCCAGAAGGCAAAGGTTGCGGTGAGCCGAGATTATGCCATTGCACTCCAGCCAGGGTAACAAGAGTAAAACTACATCTCAAAAAAAAAAAAGAAAAACCAAGACATAATAAAAGCAAGAACGAAGTAACTCCACCGCACCCTTGCATTCAGAGACCCAGCTCAGATGTTTCAGGGACTGAATACAATCCTCTTTGAGCACTATGAGCACATGACTGGAACAGTCACTGGTGCCTCTGAAATGCAGTTTCTTCCTCTGTGCAGTGAGGTTGTGTTTGCTCTTGTACAATGGGCATTAAATGAGCTTGTTTATGTAAAGTCCTGGCACGTTGTACACAATCAGCTGGGGTCCCAGTTGTTATTTTACAGCACTGACACAGCTGGGACCCCCAGAGCAGTGCTGGAGGGTCCACCCTGGCTTTTCACTATGGTCTTGGTCTGCCCTGTGTCCCTGAAATTTGGCCATCCCAAACTGAGTCCACCTGAGGGAAAGCTCTTCCCCAGAAGGACCCTTGCAGAAGGCATGCATCTTACCACCCTACTTTCCAAAACCCGCCCCACTGGGTCCCTTGAAACATTCCCTCCTGGTATTTTTGGGGTGAGGAAGGGGAACCCACATACTTAAGCAATTGTTCCCCTTGGAGATGTAATGAAAAAACTGCTCTGTGAGAGTTAACTCCTTAGTGACAGCTGGGTTGATCAAGACTTACAGATTACTGAGCAAGTGACTTAGAACCTTAATCTCAATCCTCATCCTTTCAGCTCTTCCATAGACCCATCAAAGACAGTCGAATAACAAGTGAGGCTCCTCCTTGCCTTCACCCTGGGATGCAGTGCACTTTGGGAAGCAGAAGCAACAGCAGAAAAGAAATGAAAAGCACCCTCCACACCATTAGAGACCTGCACAGCCTACAGAGCACCAGCTGTTATCAGAACCCCCCAAAGGCCCTCTCATGCCAGCAGCGGGCTGAAGGTAGGAGATGATACTGGTATGTACTAATCTCCCCCAGCAAGCACCTTCCTCAGCTACTCATTTAACCTTCATCACAGCCCTGAGAGGGAAGCATTATCAGCACATTTTACAGAAAAGTGACTCCATGGTGTGTTAAGTAACTGGCCTGTGACTACAAGGCTAACGAGGTGGGGTTGAGGTCTTCCCCAATGGCTCAGGGCAGCCGGGGTCTTCTCTATCACCTGACACTGGCCCTAGCTATTCTCCCTGACCCCAGATGCACACATCTTGGGGCTGTAGCACGGGGTTGTTCAGGCTGCTTCGCCTGCCTGGCTGATAATTTCTGTCACAAAAAAACCTCACTCTGGCTCCTTTTAACCTGTTGATTTTAGTAATATTTTATTTAATAACAACAAATATAATGGTAACTAATGGACACTGTGCAAACAGCATATGCCAGGTTCTGTGCTAAGAATTCATATGCCTTATTTCACTCAGCAGCACAGTGACATGGGTATCACTGTGATTTCCATTTTACAAGTGAGAACCTGAGGCTGAGAGAATAAAGCAATTTGCCCTGATAGTGAGTGGCAGTGCCAGGGATGGCCAGAGGTCTAGCCCTTACTGGGTAGCCTCCAAGTCATGCAGACGTTGAGCAGGATGACCGAGCTCATGAGCAAAATGGAGATGCCTGTGATGAACCAGTAAACCCACAGGGGCATGTAATCTGTGGTGAGCAGAACAGTGTGAGTTCTGCCCAGGCCTGCCCTGCTGGCCCTGAGGGCCCCAGTCCCTATCCCCAGCCTCAGGCTCTGTCCTCTCTGGCTACTGACAAATCACAGTCCACCACCCCACCCCCTCATGACTGACCCCCACTCCCAGGCTGACAAACCATGGTATCACCCACCCAGGGGCTGACAAACTGTGGTCTCACCCCCTTCTCTGGGCTGACAAACCATGGTCTCAACCCAACCCCAGACTGACAAATCGTGGTCTCACACACTGAACCCCCGGCTGACAAACCATAGTCTCACCCACGCACACCACCTCACACCACCCCAGCTTGCCTCCTTCAGGCTAGTCTGCCTGGGTCAGGCACGAACTTCTCACTCTCACGTGGCCCCTGGGGAATGGTCCCTGAGGGCTGCCACCCTGCAGAGATCAGAGCTTACCTGCAATTGTTTCTGCAATGAGAACAAAGGGAAAAGGGGAAAGAGTATTCTTAACCCTTCCCAGTCATCACAAAATCCACCACTGAAATCCCTTAAGGGCTTTCATAACTTTGGCCCCTCACCAGGCACTTTAGATTCAGGCTGAAATTAATGAAGCCACCTACAAGAGACAAGGACTTGAGCTGCTGGCCTTGGGAGGCTGGGTCTCCTTCCAGCCTGGCCCCATGTCTCAGCCTTCTTGTGAGCCTGTGGCCATAGCCTCCCATGCGTTAGGGCATGCAACTTCTAAACAGTGTCCCTGGGGTGTGATCTTAGACAAGTTATTCAATATCGCTGTGCCTCACTTTCCTCATCCATGAACCTGGGGTTTAGGGTGGGGGAATCTTGTACTTCACAGTATGATGACTCACTCACAATGAGGGAGAATTAAACATGGACAGTGTGTTGGAGCTGCGTGCTCAGTGCATGGCACAGCACTAGCCTATAGGCTTAAAACCACCCCATTTTCCAGTAAAGAAAGTGGAGGGTCAGAAAGACTAAAGATTTTGCCTGAGGATGAATCACTAATGAAAGGCAGCCAAGACTCCAACTCCAGGGAGTGACACTCTAAACCCCACTCCACACTTCAGGCCTGAAGAGCTCCATGTTAAACTAAACTCTCCTCTGAAACCACCCCTCAGACCCAGATCAGGCCTCAGCCCAGGCTGGTGGCCCTCAGCCACCTGCATTCCCAGTGTGGCCCTGGACAGCTGCATGTCTCCAACCTGGAGTGTCTGGCGTTTCTGGGCAGGAAACAGTCATGGAGTGTCTGAAGCAGTCATTTGAGGCAGCTGCTGAAGAAGGCCTAGATCTATGGGCAGAGAGGGCAGGTTAAGGGCCATTGTCTCCCTCCAGCAAGGAGTGAATGGTGAGAGTACCCCTGCCCAGATGAAGCTGGGAGAATTGGAAAGGAGAAAGGCAGGGGCAGTGTCTCAACCAGCAAGGCATTCTCACTGCCAGCGGTGTCTGGTGCCAGAGAGAGCACAAGGCTTCCCTCTACACCATCAGGAAAAACAGACTGTGCATGCTCCCCTCTCTGTCCACAACATACTCCCTAACTGTGCACGCTCTCCTCTCTGTCCATACCACACTCTCCACCTGTGCACACTTCTCAATCCCCACACCACAATCTCCACCTGTGCACACTCCTCACTCCCATTTACACCACACTCTCCACCTGTGTACCCGCCTCACTCCCCACACCACAATCTCCACCTGTGCACACTCCTCTCTATGTCCACACCACACTCTTCACTTGTGCACACTCCCCTCTGTCCACACCACTCTCCACCTGTTCACACTCCTCACTCCCCCACACCACACTCTCCACCTATGCACACTCCTCACTCCCATCCACACCACACTCTCCACCTGTGCACACTCCTCACTCCCGTGCACACCACAATCTCCACATGTACACACTCCTCACTCCCATCTATACCACAGCTCCAGCTGTGTACATTTCTCACTCCCATCCACACCACACCCTCCACCTGTACACACTCCTCACTCCCCCACACCACACTCTCCACCTGTGCACACTTTTCACTCCCATCCACACCACACTCTCCACCTGTGCACACTCCTCACTTTCATCCACACCACACTCTTCACCTGTGCACACTCCTCACTCCCGTGCACACCACAATCTCCACCTGTGCACAGTCCTCACTCCCATCCACAACTCACTCACCACCTGTGCACACTCATCACTCCCTCAAACCACACTCTCCACCCATACACACTCCTCACTCCCCCAAACCACACTCTCCACCTGTGTAAATACCTCACTACCATCCACACCACTCTCCACCTGTGTATATCTCACTACCATCCACACCACTCTCCACCTGTGTACACTCCTCACGTTTATTCATATCACACTCCCCACCTGTGCACACTCCTCACTCCCCCAAACCACACTCTCTACCTGTGCACACTTTTCCCAATCCACACCACCTCCACCTGTGCACACTCCTCACTCCTGTGCACACCACACTCTCCACATGTACACACTCCACACTCCCATCCACACCACTCCCCACCTGTGCACACTCCTCACTCCCCACACCTCACTGTCCACCCATTTTGCTCCCCACACCCACCCACACCACATTAACTCATGTGCACTTGGCAGCGACAGCACCCTCTAAAACTGCATAGAGTGAGTGTGATATTGGATCGCTGGTGAAAGTCCTGTGGTCTGGGCTGAGGAGAGAGGCAAGGATGGGTAAGACTACTTGGGTGAGAACCTGCTGTGGCTCTGCCACAGAGAGGCTTTCCAGGGCACCCCTTAGTAACACCAGGAGACAAAGGCTTTTCCGGTTTCTGTTCCAGAAAAAACTCCATTTTTGCATGGAAGCCGGTTTGTTGTAAATTTGTAAGTACATTTATTAACTGGTAAGGCCCTCTTTGCTATGGCTGCTGGGAATTGAAGCTACAAATCTGTGGTCATTCACACCAGTTGTACAGAACCACACAGCACACTTTTCCTGCCCAGCCTCCCAGGTAGCTGAAATTACAAGTGTGGGCCAGTGCACCTGGCTTATTTTTGTACTTTTAGTACAGATGGGGTTTCAGCATATTGGCCAGGCTGATCTTGAACTCCTGACCTCAAGTGATCTACCTGCCTTGGCCTCCCAAAGTGCTGGAATTATAGGCATAAACCATCATGCCCAGCCAATTTTATTTCATTAATTTCCTTTTTTTTCACTCTGTTGCCTGGGCTGGAGTACAGAAGCATGATCTGAGCTCACTGAAACCTCCACCTCCCAGGTTCAAGCAATTCTCCTGCTTCATCCTCCCGAGTAGCTGGGATTACAGGCATGTATCACCACACCCAGCTAATTTTTGTACTTTTAGTACAGATGGGGTTTCACTACCTTGGCCAGCTGGTCTTGAACTTCTGACCTTGTGGTTCACCCACTTTGGCCTCCCAAAGTGCTGGGATTACAGGCATGAGCCACTGTGCCCAGGCTTTTCGTTTTTAGGAGGCAGCGCCTTGCTCTGTTTTCCTAGTTAGGTGTAGTGGTGCCATCACAGCTCACTGCAGCTCCAACTCCAACTTCAAGCATGCCATGGCCTCCCAAAGTATCAAGGTTACAGGTGTGAGGCACTTATTTTCTTTAGTTCCCCTTTATCTCTATTTCCACATATTTTTTAAATCATCAAATCATGTTTGTAGTAAACACAGCAAAACAAAGAGAACAAGGGAGCCTGTGGAAGAGGGAAGAAGGAAGAGGGCTGAGTCATGGGCAAGATGAAGTCCATTGCCTTTCTATCAACCATCAGATCACCAGGGAAGAAAAAGGCAAGCCACCATGACCACTACAGAGTAAGCACAGAATGAGCTCCAAGCTCTGGCAACACAATTCTGTCAGACTAGCAGAGAAGAGACTTGGGGCTTGGAGGGTGGTTCTGAGCTTAGAAGGGTCAAAAATAGCAGTTACCGAAGGCATGTGGTGCATGTGCTCGAAGCAGCTGTGGTTCTTCTTATGTGGAAAGCTGGGCAGCAGGACCTGGTAACAGGTAGATTGGTTCCACAAGGTGAAGCTCACACGCAGCTGGTGGGCCTCCAGAGTCTCCACAGTGATGTCAGCGTCCCACAGGCTGCCTGCCAAGGTTACACATGCAGGCTGGGAATGAGAAAGGGCATGGGAGTGAAAGTGTGCATGCGTGTGTGCAGCTCTCCAGGGCAGCCCATTACCTGCGCTCATGCATGGCGCAGTTCCCTTCACCCTGGTGTCCTCACAGCCTGCTGACCCAGAGAAAAGGGAACTCATGTACCTGCGCTCACGCATTGCGTGGTTCCCTTCACCCTGGTGTCCTCAAAGTCTGCCGACACAGAGAAAAGGAAACTCATGAAGCCTCTGCCTTCGGAAACCTGTTCTTCCAGACTCCTGACACCAGAACAGCTATCTTTTCTCTGCTGGGAGCCTGTCCATGAATGGCCCCTTCAGAGTGAGCTCTGGGGTTGGACCCATCTTGGCATGGGTGTTAGCCTGCTTGCCTGTTCATCGTCTTCCAGGGAACCCTCTGAATTCAAGTACATTCCTCCTGAATGCACTTGGTGCACCAGGCCCTGTTCTTGACACTGCAGCTAAATGGTAAACAGGACAAAGCCCTGCCCCCTGGAGACTTCAAGCCCATAGGAAAGACCAATAAAAGCAAACAAACAGCATGCAGCACCATGCCAGGGAGTGATGAGCCACACGCGGGGATACCCAGCAGGGTAAGCCGAGAGTGTGTGCACATACATGTGTGCAGGGTGTCCTCAGGATGAAGAAAGTCAACATCACCCTTAACAAGAATTTCTAGACCACCTGCTATATGCAAAGCAATTTGTGAGGCTCTGGAGATGCCACAAGTGGGCAGAAGACCCAGACTTTGTTATCAAGCAGGATTTCTGACACAGCTGGCTATGAAAAGTGAGAATTATAGGGAGGCTGAGGCAGGAGAATCGACTGAGCCCAGGAGTTCCAGGCTGCAGTGAGCTAGGATAGCAATACTGCACTACAGCCTGGTTGACAAAGTGAGACCGCCTCGATTAAAATTAGAAGAGAAATGCAAGTAACAGCTGAGCCTCTGGGGAGGATGGGGAAGTAAAAGGTGCATGTATGTCAAAGGATACCTGAGAAGAAAAGCCTGGCAGTAACTGCAGGCAGAATGGATGGCACAGGAAGGAGAGCACCATGCCTGGGATGAGTGTTGCGTGATGCAGGGAGAATGCAAGGTGGGAAGAAAAAAGCAAGCCATGGAGGTGGCACCAGGCTTTGGGCAGAGGCTGCAACTTCTCCACGATTTGTCTGTGGCTTTGCCTTTATGCTATTTTCTGGGCAGTATGGGTGCTTCTCAAGGTAGAAGGAGGAACTCTGGTTCTCATGAAACTTGTGGGATCTTAGACCAATGTCCACTGCTGTTTCAGCAGTGAATGGCTCTGCCTCAGGGAGTGGAGGCTGCAGCACACGCCAAAGAACTCCCAGTCCTGGCCTTTGTTTTGTGGGTCTCAGGCACTGGCAGTGCCAGTCACTACCTTGCTGAGCGAGGGGGCTGGCATCTGTGCCACCTGCTGCTTCCTTCTCATAGAGTCCAGGGGGTAGTTAATGCCTTGTAAGGATGCTCTTACCAGGCACGAGGAAATTCCTGGACTGGTGGTTTGGGTCCCCGTCAGGGATGGGCTTGGACATGTGGTGAATGGTCACCTCATACTCCTGGTTAGAATCAACCACAAAGTGGCTGAAGGTAAAACACCACTGAAGAGAAGGCAGGAAGGGAAGGTGGATGGGTTACATGCACCCCTCTCACCCATCTATGCCCAAAGACCCCTGTTCCCACCCACTCCTAAACATTCAAGCAAAAATAAGAATAAAGCAACTACCACAGCAAAACCCAGTCAGGGAAATCAGTATTCTTGTCCTGCTTCCTCTGGTCTTTTCTGCCTGTTAAGAAAAACAGTAGCAACCTGTATCTGGCCTCCTGAGCAGACAGTGAATAAGGGAAAGCATTCCTGCCCCCAACTAGGCTTCTCAAATTCTAGAACAATGGGTGTGAGATGACTGAGCCAGAGGACTTAAGGCTCTGGATATCTGGCACACAGGCAGGTAAAAAACTTTTTCAAATAATTCTTCCTCCTTAAATGGGAAAGCCAGGAATCTATTGAGAATGTTCTGGGGTAAAAAGTGTGCAGGACAAGTTCACTTTCCCTGGGCCAGCAGGCACCTTAGTTGCAGAGATATTTGAATTTGTGCTGAGTTATTTTCTGAGTGGTAGAGATTACAGATATCGACTCCAACACCCATTTTAGTTACCCTGGAGGAGAGGCAAGGGGTCCTTTGCTTCTGAGTGGATGGAAAAACCTGGGTCTCACCATCACACAGCAGCCAAGTTTGGGGGTTCTAATCTAACATCATACACGGGTCCTGTCTTTGCTGCTTGTGTCTGTGGGAGACCTAACTTGTTTTCAAGTGGCCGTTTGCAGGGTTAAACCAGCAGTCTTCAGACTAAGGCTTGTATCATAATTACATGAGGGGCTGGGCGCAGTGGCTCATGCCTGTAATCCCAGCACTTTGGGAGGCCGAGGCGGGTGAATCCCAAGGTCAAGAGATCGAGACCATCCTGGTCAACATGGTTTAACCCGGTTTCTACTAAAAATACAAAAAATTAGCTGGGCATGATGGTGTATGCCTGTAATCCTAGCTACTCAGGAGGCTGAGGCAGGAGAATTGCCTGAACCCAGGAGGTTGAGGTTGCAATGAGCCGAGATCGTGCCATTGCACTCCAGCCTGGGTAACGAGAGTGAAACTCCGTCACATAAAAAATAAAAAAATAAATAATAAATATAATTACTTGAGGGGCGGTTAGGCAGCAGCTGCTGGACCGCACCCTAAGAATTTCTGACCTGGGAAGTCTGGGGTGGGGCCAGAGAATACACATTTCTTTAATTCTTCTTTTGTTTGATACAGAGTCTCATTCTGTCACTAGGCTAGAGTGCAGTGGTGCAATCTCGGCTCACTGCAACTTCTGCCTCCTGGATTCAAGTGATTCTCCTGTCAGCCTGCTGAGTAGCTGGGACCACAGGCACACGCCAACACACCCAGCTAATTTTTGTATTTTTAGTAGAGGCAGAGTTTCACCATGTTGGCCAGGATGGTCTCCATCTCTTGACCTTGTGATCCACCCACCTATCCTCCCCAAGTTCTGGGATACAGGTGTGAACCACCATGCCCAGTCAGAACACACATTTATAACAAGTTCCCAGGTGAAGTTGAGGCTGCTGATCTAGGGAGCACACTTTGGGACCCACTGTTTTAAACAAACTTAAACAAGAATCAATATTTGACCATTTGCACAGCAGCATGAGATTGAGCTGCAGAGTGCTCATTTGCCCACCTGCAGCAGCTCTGTGGTCTGGGTGGTTTTTTCTTCCTGGGGGTAAACCCAAGCTTAATCCAAGTTACACAGAAAAGATGTCATACAAAGTTACACAAAGATGCCAGGAGGCAGGGCTGTGGAATTTGTCTTCCAATTCACCTTTCTTTCAGAATGAATAGCTCAGTACAGTGGGAAGAAAAAGCAGGGGTATGTCAGGAAAGCTTTTAAAATACACTCTGTCCCTCACTATTGCTCACAACAGCCACACTTCTCTTTTGACTTCTGACCATCTGAAGCTGCCGTTTGGAATTCCTCAGACTCTCTCAGCACCTCTGGGTCTTCACCACTCTAAATAAGGGTATGATTTTGGGGACAAGTCTGTGCTGGTGTCATCAGCGGACCATGATCCACTCAGAAGCTGTATTCTTACCCTTTTGTGGTGATGCCTCAGTTTGGACAGAAACTTGAACCTGACGCACAAACACTCATTAATGTTTAGCTGCAGGACAGGTAACCCTGTGCCCTCAAGGTACAGGACGCTGGCTGGAGAACAGAGGAGAGAAGGTAAACAGATGCAGGTCAGCCACAACAAGTGCCGGGTGTCCCTCTCTCCTGTGGTTGTTCACTCTTGAAAGAAAATCTGCCTGTCTAACCCAGCTCTCCACTTCCTATCCCTTTCAGCTTGCTCTCTGTGTAGTTCCTTGCAGTTATTTCCCAGCTGGGCAAGGACAAAGGACACTTTACACAGGGCTAGAAGCAAAGGCTTTGCAAATTTGTAGTGAGGGCTTTGACAGCCTGGCACGGGTGTCAAACACAGCTATGCCATCATCCTCACGAGGCTGCAGCAGTCAGCAGGAGTACTGAGGCTGGAGACTTTCAGAGAGAACTCCCCCAGGCCCCGGTCACAAATCTGGGGCTGGTTCTCATTCACCCCAGTTGCCCCAATTCTGTAACATAAATTCTCTATTCCTGAATAGGCTCCCAGGATATTTTTAAAGTGGCCCCTGAATTAAGAAAACAAACAGGCTGGCAAATGTGTTGCCATTTTCGACTTCATTTTTGGTATTGCAGTCACAAAATTAACCACTTGCTTTTTCTTCCCCAGTGTGCTAAAAATGTCAGGCTGAAGGCATCCTATCATGAGGAATGGAGTGATGGGAAGGTATCACTGTGGGTTAATATCCAAAACACTGAACAAGCATTAACCCTTGAAATGATGGATTTTTACAACACTAAGTTTGAGCCCTCATGTCTGAGCATGGGACTGAGAACCCAATCCTGATCCTGACTGGGAGAGCTGACAGGTGGGTCTGTGGACTCACTCGGAGGCAGGGAGACTCCCCCAGGGTCTTGCTGGCAGGCCCACTCACCATCTGTCTGCAGCATCCATTCATTGCAGTGAACTGAGGTCACACCACTGAACTCTTGCCTAGTGCCTGGTGACAGAGCAAGTCTCTGCCTCAAAAAAAGAAAAAAATTGATTTATACTATAAAAAGTTGTTTGCAATTTCTTTTCCTCACTCATCAACACTTTCTGGCCATCTTCAGGCCAACAGATGGGTCTATGCAACTAATTCTGATTCTCTTTAATATTTGTATAACATTCCATAGTAGACAGCAATCATCTATTCAACCATTTCTAGTTTGATAGACATTTAGATTTAAACTAGATCTCACCTTATTTAGCCATTCTCTCTTGATGAACATTCAGTACCACAGAAAAAGAGGGAATGCTATTTATTTTTTTAAAGCTTGTGTAAACTTAATTCTAAAACTTGATAAATCTTACACAGAAAGAAAAACTATAGCCCAATCTCATTTATAAATATAAATTCATGCAACTCTAAATAAAGTATTAGCAAATGTAATCTACCAGAACATCAAAAGAATGACCTCGTGGTACATTAACAAACCTAATTTGTTAATCCATGCTGGAGAGGAGAGATCTATGATAAGGTTCAGGGCTGTTTTGAATGAAAACTATAAACATAATAGTAACCGAAAGAAAAGACTTACATGCAACCACAACTATCAGAAACCAATACCAATACCAGCATTCCATGGGGCATGCCAAACTATTTTCCTCTATCTCAGGAATGAGAGTAGGACACCAGCCTGTGGCACTGGGAATCAACTGACTGTGTTCTCAATTCCTTCCACTCTCCTCTGGTCTTTTCTATCAAAATGGAGAGATTGCAGAAAAGACTTTCCTTGGCTTGCAAAAAGGTGTAGCAGGTGTGAGAAATACTAGTGCCTTGTGCCTTTCACACAGGGTTTGCATGCATCAGTCTGCTTTCTGATTATGTGTACATGAGAGAGTACACCACGTGAAGAGAAGAGAGAATGACCAATAATGTTTTATTAGAGAACTCTTCTTGAAGTGGGTTGCTATTGTCTGGATTCCACTTTTGAGCAACAAATAAAATTCTTTGTTAAAACTAGAAAACAAACAAACAAACACAAATAAGTAAAAGGATTATAGCCCCAAAGAGATACGTCATTGCATTTGTAAGATGGGGCAGGACACCGCGGACAAACAAGCAGGCAGAGAATGAAAACTGAACCTTGAAACTCAATAGATAAAGTTCTATTGAATAAAAATTCAATAGAAGGGTTAGTCTATGAAATTAAGGACATTTCTCTGAAAGTAGAGCAAATAGAAATAGGAGTAAATATATGACTATTAGAAATTCAATTTGGGAAACAAAATATGGTTGACTAGATTTCTAGGAGACTAATGAGAAAACAGAAGGGAGAAATTATTTTTAAAAAAAGAAAAGAAAGAAAGAAAACATTCTGGAAGTGAAGGACCCATATTCCCTGAGAATGTAGAGAAACTCTCCTGCCCTCACAACACCACAATCAACAAAAAAGACTTCTGTGACTACATATCGTGGGGGAGGTTTCTGCCCACCACCAAGCTAGCAATCAATTCTTCAGCAGGCACCAGCTGGGTGTTCTCCAATTTAATTCTGACACTATTTAAAGATGGCATCAGATCCCACAGGTAGAGTGCTCAGTCCCCAAGACTGCCCACCCTCTAGACACCAGTCGTAAGTCCAGGCCTCCAGAACATCTAAGACCAACTGGCTTCAATTTGAGGTTCTCATGCTTCTCTCCTTTAGTTCAATTAATTTGCTAGAGCTGCTCAGAGAACTCAGGGAAACACGATTACCAGTTTATTTTTAAAATATCAAAAATAATACCAAGGAAAAAATGCAGAAGGTGAGGTACAGGGGAAGGAGTACAGAGTTTCCATGCCCTCCCCAGGTGCACACTTCTCCCCATATATGCCCTCTTCCCCAGGTGTGCCCTCCTCCCTAGGCGCACCCTTCTCCCAGGTACACCCTCCTCCCAGGTGTGCCCTCCTTCCCAGGTGCCTCCTCCTCCCCAGGTGCTTCCTCCTCCAGGAACCTCCACATGTTCCACCACCTGGAAGCTCTCTGAACCAGGTTCTTTTGAGTTTTTGTGGAGCTGCACATGAGCATGACTAATGAAACCACTGGCTATTGATGATCAACTTAACCTTCAGTCCCCTCTGCCCTTCCCAGATGTGAGGGTGAAAGGAGTGAGGCTGAACATCCCAGTCCTCTAATCCTACCTTGGTCCTTCCAGGTAGGATTGGTACCTCTAGGTAGCCCCCATCCTGATCTGCCTAGAAGCTGCCAGCCATCAATGAATCATTAGTATATAAAACATACCATTTTGGAGACTCTAAGTGTTTTAGGAGTTTCTATTCCAGAAAAAGGGGTTGAAAACCAAATACATATTTCACAGTATCACATTGCTGAATTAAAATGGGTACTAAATGGCCTGCACAAAAACAGCAACGAAGACCCCAAATTCTGAAACTGTTGTAATATCAACAATAATAAGATGCAAATGCTGTGTGAAAGGCACATGGCACTAGTATTGCTCACACCTGCTACACCACCTTCGAAGCCAAGAGAAGCCTTTTCTGCAGTCTCCCCATCTGATAGAAACTTTTCACAATTTTTTAATAGCAAAATATTTAAAAGTCTCTTCCCCTCCTCTTCACTTCAGTTGTCTACTAAAAAGGTACAGAATTTAAAATGAGCAAGCAGAGCAGACCAAGGCTCCAAATTTTAAAACGGTTGTAATATCAGAAATAAAAAGAAGTTCCTAAAAGTTTCCAGAGAGAAAAATTAAGTGTCATAAAAATGGATAACAAATGTAATAACATTGATTTTCTTAGCATATGTACAATTTCCTAGAATGCAATGCTTTCAAAATTCTGAGGGAAAATTATATTTAACACAGACTTTTCATACCCAGCCAAATTATCAAAAAAAGTTATGAGGGTAGAATAAAGATATTTGACATGAAAATACTTAACATGTATGTCTAATATACATGTAGATGTACATATATATGTAGATCAGGAACATACATGATATGTGTGTGTGTGTCTATATCCATCCTCATACATATTCTTAGGAAATTACAGGAGGATGTGCTGCAGCAAAATGAGGGAGTGACCCCTGAGGAAGAAGACACAACATCCAGGACATGAGAGATTTGACCATGACAGGATGTTTGTTTTTGTCTAGACACAGGTCTAGATAGCACAAACCTGGTTGGGGCTGGAGAACAGAGGACTCTAGGAGGAAGTTCTCTGGAGAAAGGGGGGATGGAATGGATGGAATATCTGATGATTTGGCAGGAAAAATAATACAACAAGTGTGATAGAAAACAACTAAGACTAACTACATAAAAAATTATACAAGTAGGCTGGGCATGGTGGCTCATGTCTGTAATCTAAGCACTTTAAAAGTCAAGGTGGGCAGATCACCTTGGGAGTTCAAGACCAGCCTGACTAACATGGTAAAACCCCATCTTAAAAAAAATTATACAAGTAAAAATTTAAAACAATTATTATCTCTAGGGCAGGAGGGGAGGGGTTTGTATCAGAAAAAAATACATAAAGTACATTGCTGGTTGAATGCGGTTGCTCATGCCTTTAATTCCAGCACTTTGGGAGGCCAAGATGGGTGGATCATGATGTCAGGGGTTCGAGAACAGTTTGGTCAACATAATGAAACCTCGTCTCTACCTAAAATACAAAAAATTAGCCAGGGGTGGTGGGCACCTGTAATCCTACTTGGGAGACTGAGGCAAGAGTACTGCATGAACCCAGTAGGTGGAGGTTGCAGTGAGCCAAGATTGCATAACTACACTCCAGCCTGGGCGACAGAGAGAGTCCATCTCAAAAAAAAAAGCCAGGACGTGGTTCACCAAGTTCTCTTTTCCCTCTTCCAGGAGCAGACAGATCATGGAGTGAAGTGCACAAGGAGCAGTCTCAGATGTCCCAGGTGGGATGCATAACATGGCAGAGAAATCCATCCTGTGCTGCTGAGAGACACTGCAGTGTGGGGTCAGTGTCACCTAACTGGCAGCCTGGCCTGACTGATCCCTGTGTGTGACTGGAGGTAGAGGTTGCAGTGAGCTGAGATCATGCCATTGCACTCCACCTGGGCGACAGTGAGAGACTCCATCTCAAAAAAAGTACACTTACTGGCCTCGACAGTGAAGATGCTTACTTGTTATAATAATATAAATGCTGCCTTCCATTTAATTAATATCATGATTTAAATGTAATAAAGGAGAGAGGTGGTGGCACAACGATAATGTAATTTTCTTCTATTGGAAGTCAATACATAATATCTTAAATTAACAAATCATGAATTAACAATATCACAGCATGTTTAGAAATATGGAGGTAAATGTCAGAAGAAGTAAAGGCATCATATTTGGGGAGCAGGTTTGGGGTGGCGCAGGGATATGCTGTTTTTTGTTTTAAACATTTCAGTACCATTTTTAAAGGAGTTAAAGGAGAATCACCATACATAACTTGATAAAAATTAATTTGAAAATAGAAGTTTGCTAAACAAATGTTTTGGTACCAGTACCATGCTGTTTTGATTACTGTAGCCTTGTAGTATAGTTTGAAATCCGGTAGTGTGATGCCCCCCGCTGTGTTCTTTTTGCTTAGAATTGACTTGGCTATGCGGGCTCTCTTTTGGTTCCATATGAAGTTCATGGTGGTTTTTTCCAGTTCTGTGAAGAAAGTCAATGGTAGCTTGATGGGGATAGCGTTGATTCTGTAAATTACTTTGGGCAGTATAGCCATATTCACGATATTAATTCTTCCTAACCATGAAGATGGAATGTTTCTCCATCTGTTTGTGTCCTCTCTGATTTCGTTGAGCAGTGGTTTGTAGTTCTTCTTGAAGAGGTCCCTTACGTTCCTTGTGAGTTGTATTCCAAGGTATTTTATTCTTTTTGTAGCAATTGCGAATGGCAGTTCGCTCTTGATTTGGCTTTCTTTAAGTCTGTTATTGGTGTAGACGAATGCTTGTGATTTTTGCACATTGATTTTATA